CAGTCCCACTGTGGCGTCGCACCTCAGGGAGGCCTGCGCCACCAGCCCCGGGGCTTCTCGCGCCCTCGGGTGCCCGCTCCTCGCCCTCGCGTCTCTGCCAATCATGTCCCCCTCCCTGTCCCGTCCCGGGCTGCCCGCGCGCCACTCACACGCTGACCCCGACACCCGCTCACGCTCACCTTGCCTGCCTGGAGCCTCGCCTGACTGACTGAACAGTTCGCGCTCACATTTGGCGCCTACGCTGCGGCGCATGCGCCCTGCAGCGTCTGCGCGTGCGCTCTGTGGGGCCTGCGGAGCAATGCACCTCAAAATCCAGGCCGCTCCTCGCTCGTTCCGCTGGGGGGCGCGCGAGGACACACATGACAGAGATGGGGGAAGGGGAAGAAGGAAGTGGCACCAGGGTCGCCTGAGTACTTAAGGTGCTTTCCTTGGCTTTTTGGTTCGTTAATATATGGTTTGCAGATTTTTAGGTAAACCAACAGTATGAGGTGAAATGTCTTCCTCCCCTCCCAGTGTGTGCCCCATGATGAGGGATTGTGGGGCAAGGTGAGGGCAGAGTACAGGCCAGCAGCACCCCCACCCCCCAAAGTGGGATATGTGTGATATTCCTTGGACATTCCTGGCTGCCCAAGAACAGGGGAAAGGGATTTAAGTGCTTGCCGTGGTGCTATGGAAAACTAAGGCAAATGAAAAATTAAATTCCCTTACTGCCTACAGCCCATAGACAAGTCCTTGAAACTGGCACAGTGGCCTCCCTCTAGGAGCTCAGCTGCCTCGATGATGACACTTTGCTAGGGACAAAAGAGAATCTTGGCTTAAAGTTATTCTGACACCCCCACCCCGACCCCACAGGATCCTGTAAGTCTACTTATTTTATTTTATTTTTTATTTTTAAAGTTTACTCATTTATTTTGAGATGCAGAGAGAGGAGGGAAGGGAGAGAGGGAGAGAATCCCAAGCAGGCTCTGCACTGTCAGCACAGAGCCCCATGCGGGGTTCCAACTCATGAACTGAGATCATGACCTGAGCTGAAATCAAGAGTTGACCTCCTAACCAACTAAGCCACACAGGTGCCCCAGGATCCTGTAAGTCTACTTTCACATAAAAAAAAAAAAATTCCTTTGGAAACTTCCTTTGTCTCAACTCCCCTGAGATATATGTGGGCAATCATACTATGGCCGCTGATATATATCCAAAGGGTCCCATGACTGCGGTTTTACTAAAGGGTAATAAATGTTTTCCTAACAGTAGCTAGCCCCTCAAGGTCCTGGAAACCTTGCTTCCAAAATTCCTTAGAGACAACACTATCCCTAACCCCCTCCCAACCTGAGGATATATAATGAGTTACCCCTCACAACCCCAGTGCAGCTCTTCCTGCCCATGGGTCCTGTCCCAGTGCGTTAATAAAATCACCTTTTTGCACCAAAGACGTCTTCAAGAATTCTTTCTTGGCTGTCAGCTCCCAACCCCCCACCATCACCCCAAAACTTCATCACACCACCCACCAATTTTTTATGCCCATGAAACATGTGGTAACCACTGCGATTAGTTTGTGTCCTTCCACATTTCTTTATGCATGG